CATTTTGCCCTCAACTACACACGCTTCCTCCCGCAGTGCTACAAGTTGAATGAAGCTGCTGCAGCGAAAACTCAATCGGATCACATTCAAGCACTAGTAGAAGCCGCTCCAAGGAAAGTAGATCCACGATTCGACAGCCTCGATCCTAACGATTCTTCGCGTCGTAATCTCTCGTCTGCATTCGATGACGCTGCTGATGTCAAAGATGAACCAATGAGTGGTAAGGGGCTTCGCCTCAATCGTCTTATCGGGCGTGGTTTAGAAGGCGGCTCTGCTCGTGATACTATGAAGAAGGATCATCTTCAAAAGCAGATCGGTACCACGTTTGTGGTACTCAAGGCGTTGCGAGAAGGTTTCCTCGTGTTACGCTACCCATCTGGAACGAGCGTCGCGCGAAAGTTGCCGATTTCTCAAGCGGTTGTAGGTATTGTCGACGATGTTATCACCGACCAGAAGTTCGAAGTTGCTAAGTACAGCCAATTGACGAACGACGACAAGAAAGTTGTCTATGATTTGTTCAAAATCACGCGCTACGATCAAATGTTGCGCAATCCATTGATGAATCCGTACGAGTTGGATGAAGCTCAGAAGTATCTACTCGAGCTCGACAAACCAAAGGGCAACTCATCTTGGGTAACGAACGCAACATCGCCGAGTTTTGTCGTCTCTCAACGTATCTCTATGAGCTCGGCATGTTGAAGAACAAACAATTGCAAGATAATTTCTCTCTATTAGCATAAAGGAGCGATAAGATGAGGATCAATATTCGAAGGCCGTTGAAGAAGCAAGGAAACGCACATGCTGTTTACCAAGAACACGCTGACGATAATGATCAAGAGCTCCTCAAGAAAAAGCAGAGCTTGGTTCTCAAGCACGAAGGAACAACGAGTGGTTCTGGTGTGGCTATCAAACGATTCGCTGCTGGGTTCAAGTCGTCGAAGATTAGCAAACCGAAAACTTTGCATTGTAAAGCATTTAATATATTTTTTATGAAAGAGTTCTGTAACATAGATATAGATACAAGAAGCGATCGAAGACCGCTAGAATTCTGCGAATTCAGATGAAAACCGCGAGCGGATATAAGACTGTTAAGGTTGGGCGCATTCCTGTAGCAAAGCTTAAGAAAGCTCGCTAAGGTGGCTCTTTGACGTTGTCTGCTGCGGAGTTGAAGCCTTCGATCTGTTGTTGCACCCTGCTAATGCTAAGAAGGTTCTAGCAGCACAGAAGGCTAACAAAGCCACTCGAATTGATATTACGCATGGAGAAGCCGAACATAACAACTCTGAGCTTCAAGGTGGATCAATATTCTCAGGGATTTGGAACTTTTTGAAATCTAACGCGACGCCCCTTCTAGACATCGTTAAGAACGTTGCGACTCCTTTCGTCGGAGAAGACGTAGCGAACGCTGGGAGATCGCTGGTGCAATCGTTGACTGGAAAGGGAATCAAGCATGTGAAGGGCTCTGCGGAGGCTAAGGCTCATATGGCATCTCTTCGTGCTAAGCGTAAGGGCAGCATGCGTGCTGGATCCTTTCGCCATTCATAGTTTGAATCTGATACATGATCCTGTAAGTATAATAAATCGAAGCGATGTTTCAAGTTGGTATTGTCTACAGAATCATCCATAACGACAGCGACATTCAGTATGTAGGTTGTACGATGAAATCGTTGTAGACGTGAATGCACCTTTACCGTTTTGAAGTGCAATTGTAGTCGCAACAGCACCACGTTGAGTGGGCCAGTTATAAGGATTGAATCCAGACGTAGTACTGTTAATTGCAGTAGGTTGAGGATTAGTGTAAACACGCTGCACGAACCCTTCGTTCGTACCCAGTTGAGTACTTTCTGGAAGGACGCCTGCAGCAGTTTGCTCGTTCGTGAAGTTGTTCACGAAACCATCACCAGAAGGAGTTGCCGTAGTCGAATATGCCATCGAGCTCCAATCGTCAACACCAAGGAAAGCATCAGCACCATGCTTCTCAACGTCGGCAGATGTCCATTCAGTTTGAGCACGAATGTTGTTCCAGTACATTTTGTAATCACTGTCCGTGATAATTGTCTTACCATCCATCTCAACACAGAGCGAGTCGATCACGTTCCAGACGCCAGCTTTCAATCCTGCGTAATAACGATTCACTTGAGATTGCAGAGCGGTAGCACCAGTATTCTTCAGGGAAACAACATACCGTGCGTTTAGGCAAAATGAATGTATTGGTTAAGGGTTCGTCTGGTAACCGGAAATATTGCAATATTCAGGCCCAAAACGCCATTTTGGGGCCGAATTCAACAAATCTGATCAAAATTGAAACATGTCTTGCTGGAAGAGGTTTAACCCAAAT